TGAAACTGAAAAGCTTCTGTAAAACAAAGGACACTGTCATCAGAACAAAACAGCAGCCTACTGATTTGGAAAGAATCTTCACCAACCCTATACCTGAGAGAGGGTTAATATCCAGTATATATAAAGAACTCAAGAAGTTAAAAGCAATAAATCAAGTAATCCAATTTAAAAATGCAGCCCAGAGCTAAACAGAGAATTCTCAAGAGGACTATCGAATGGCAGAGAAACACTTAAAGAAATGATCAATGTCCTTAGTTATCAGGGAAATGCAAATCAAAAAGACCCTGAGATTTCACCTTACACCCATCAGAATGGCTAAGATCAAAAACTCAAGAGACAACACATGCTGAGGAGGATGAAGAGAAAAGAGAACCCTCCTCCATTGCTGATGGGAATGTAAACTTATACAACCACTTTGGAAATCAATCTGATGCTTTCTCAGACAATTAGGAATAGTGTTACCACAAGACCCAGCTATACCACTCCTAGGCATATATCCAAAATATGCTCAACTATACAACAAGGGCATTTGCTCAACCATGTTCATAGCAGCTTTATTTGTAATATCAGAATCTGGAAACAACCCAGATGTCCCTCAACAGAGGAATGGATACTGACATTGTGGTACATTTACACAATGGAATATTACTCAGCTATTAAAAACAAGGAAATCTTGAAATTTGCAGGCAAATGGTGGGAACTAGGGAATATTATCCTGCGTAAGGTATCCTAGAAGCAGAAAGACACACATGGGATACACTCACTTATAAATGTGTCTTCAGTATATAATACAGGATAATCATACTAAAATCTTCACCTAAAGAAGCTAAGTAAAAAGGAGGACCCTGGGTAAGATGGTCAATCCTTATTCAGAAAGGCAAGTGGGATAGACATAGGAAAAAGGTGTAAAGGAGGAACAAGACAGGAACCTACCCCAGAGGTCTCTGAAAGACTTTACCCAGCCTGGTATTAAAGCAGATGCTGAGATTGATAGCCAAACTTTGGGCAGAGTGCAGAGAATCTTATGAAAGAAGGGAGAGATAGAAAGACCTGGAAGTGTCTGGAGCTCCACAAGGAGAGAGAACAGAAACAAAATATCTGGGCAAAGGAGTCTTTTCTGAGACTGATACTCCAACCAAGGTCCATTCATGGAGATAACCCAGACCCCTGCACAGATGTAGCCCATGGCAGCTCAGTCTCTGAATGAGTTCTCTAGTAAAGGGAACAGGGACTATCTCTGACATGAACTCAGTGGCTGCCTCTTTGATCACATCCCCCCTAGGTGGGGGGCAGCCCTATCTGGCCACATAGGAAGACAATGCAGACAGTCCTGATGAGACCTGATAGGCTAGGTTCAGATGGAAGGAGAGGAGGTCTTCTCTTATCAATGGACTGGGTAAGGGGCATGGGAGGAGATAAGAGATGGAGGGTGGGCAGGATTGGGAGGAGACAAGGGTGGGGTTATAGCTGGGATACAAAGTAAGTCAATTGTAATAAATAAAAAGTATATTAAAATGTATTTAAAAAAATATTTGGCCCTGTTTGGGAGGGAGTTGGGGAGGAGGAGGGAATGAAGGAGCGGGATACAGCTGGGACACAGAGTTAACAAATTGTAACTAAAAAGAAAAATAAAAATTAAAAAAAAAAGAATACTTGGGAGGCAGACACAGTTCATGGGTGTGATCAACCTGGTGAACACCCTGTCTCAAGAAAAAAGTAATAATAATAATAATAATAATAATAATAATAATAATAATAATTTTTAAATGTGGTTACTTTGAAATTGTGCTTGTAGAGATACCTAAAGGAAAATTACAGGTTGCATGTAAGAAAAACAATTTAATTATCTAGATTTTAAGAGTTCATTTTTAATTATTAGTATGTGGCATTTCTGTTTGGGAGTGTAGGAACATGGGTGGGCACCTACTCTAGGACACAAAATGCATCTAATCCTCTCAATCTAGTGCCACGGGAGGCTGTGGGCTACCCCACATGGATGTTAGGAACTGAACTAGGGTCGTCTGGAAAAGCAGTGAATGCCCTTAATTGTGGAGGCATCTCTCTACCTAAAAGAAAACACTTTAAATACAAAAATACAATGATACACCCTGAATATAGACATTTGAGTCAAACACTAACGAAAAGAAAAGTTGATCATTTATACTATCACACAATTCAGATTCACACTGAAAAAAAAAAAAAAGAATACAACTGTACAACACAAAAACAAAGAAACTCTGAATCATACATACAAAGCAAGTCCAGGACAGCCAACACTACATAGAGAAACTGTCTCAGAAAAGTGACAGAAATAAAGGATGGAAGGAAGGAAGGAAGGAAGGAAGGAAGGAAGGAAGGAAGGAAGGAAGGAAGGACAAAGAAACAAACAAAGTTACAAAAAAGGAAAGAATGAGAAAGATATAAATAAAATGTGATCAAATTCAAAACAAAATTATACTGAATATTTCCCAAACTTGATAAAAAAAATCTATGAAGAAAATCAAATTAAATTATGCAAAACGATAAAAAGAATGCTTTCTTTTAAGATTGAATAAAAAATTTAAAAAGTGTCACTATTTCCAGTCAATATTATACTAAGGAACATACTCTATATATCATGATGACAGTAATATAAAGGGTTTTAAAATAGAAAAGAGAAAGTTAATTTTTTTTCCCAATAGGATATGATCGTTTGTTCAAAAAAATCTCTAGCAATGGCTACCTTCAATTTGTTTAAAGATCCTGAAGTGTGGTTGAGCAAATGTCCTTATTGTGTACTTGAGAATCTTTTGGATATATGCCTAGGAGTGGTATAGCTGCTCAATCATGTTTGTAGCAGTCTTATTTGTAATAGCCAAAAGCTGGAAACAGCCCAGATGCCCCTAGGTGGAGGAATGGATGAACAAATTGTGGTATACCTACACAATGGAATATTACTCAGCAATAAAAAACAAGGAAATCATGAAATTTGCAGGTAAATGGTGGGATCTGGAAAAGATCATCCTGAGTGAGCTATCCCAGAAGCAGAAAGATGCACACTGTATATACTCACTCATATAGACATATAATATAGGATAAACCTACTAAAATCTGTACACTTAAAGAAACTAATCAAGAGGGAGGATTCTTGCTAAAATGCTCAATTCCTATCCAGAAAGGCAAAAAGGCTGGACATCAGAAGAAGGAGAAAAGAGGTAACAAGTCAGCAGCCTGACACAGAGGACCTCTGAAAAGCTCTGCCCTGCAGACTATCAAAGCAGATCCTAAGACTTATGGGCAACCTTTGGGTAGAGTGCATCGAATCTTAGGAAAGAAGTGGGAAACAGTAAGATATGGAGAGGACAGGAACTCCACAAGGAGAGCAACAGAACCAAAAAAATCTGAGCACAGGAGTCTTTCCTGAGACTGATATTCCAACCAAGGACTAGGCATGGAGATAACCCAAGACCCCTGCACAGATGTAGCCCATGGCAGTTCAATATCCAATTGGGTTCCATTGTAATAAGAACAGGGACTGTCTCTGACATGAACTGATTGGCCTGCTCTTTAATTACCTACCCCTGAGGGGGAAGCAGCATTACCAGGCCACAGAAGAAGACAATGCAGCCACTCCTGATGAGACCTAATTGACTAGGATCAGAAGGAAGGAAAAGAAGTCCTCCCCTATCAGTTGACTTGGGGAGGGGCATGCATGCAGAGGGTGGAGGAAGGGAGGGATTGGGACAGGAGGAGGGAGGGAACCACAAGGGGGATACAAAGTGAATAAAGTGTAATTAATAAAGAAAAAAATAAGTAAAGCATGCAACAGAGACCATGTCAGAGTCTTTATAGGGTACCCACGCAGAGGCTAAGCTGCTTATCACATATATATTTACAGAGAGTTTAGGTCTAGTCCATGCATGGTCATTGGTTGGTGCTTCAGTCACCACAAGCCCCTCTAGGCCCAGGTTAGACAGGATTGTTGGTATTCTTGTGGCGATCCTGTGCTTTCTATGTCCTTCTAGCCTTCCTTCCACTCTTGTATAAGCATACACTCAGCCCGTTGTTTGGCTGGGTCTCAGTTTCTGTTTCTATCCATGCTGGGCTCCCATCTGCAAAAACACAGAAGAGCTGTTACCAATTCTATTAGGAGTTGGCTTTCTTCCATGGAGAGGGTCTCAAGTTGGACTAGGCATCCATTTCACATTCCTTCAGCCTCTACTCTAACTTTATCCCTGCACATCCTGCAGGCAGGGTATATTCTGGGTGGAAATTTTGTGGGTGGAATGGTATTCCCCTCCTTCTACTGAGAATGCTGCTTGGTTGGAGGTTGGCTTCTCCAATTTCCATGAGCTGGGCCACCAGGGGTCTCAGCTAGACTCACCCCGTATCACCCCAGGACCCACCGAGTTGCAGGCCTTCAGCTTGTCTAAGAGATGCCTAGCCCATGGTATATCCTTTTTCTGCACACCCTCTGTCCTCCTCTCCCTGTTCTCCACATATCTGAAGCACCAACTAAGGACCATGCATGGACTAGATCTAGGATTCCTACATATAAATACATGATGGGCCACTTGGTCTTCTTGTGGGTTCCCTAATAAGAGGAGTATGACCTCTTTCTGACATGCACTCTGTTGTATGCCTTTCGATCACTTCCCCCTGGTAGGGATGCCTTGACAAACCACAGTGGAAGAGGAAGTGCTCAGTCCTGGTGCAACTCAGAGTGTTGGGGTGGGTTTGGGGTCCTTTCCTGAGGGGTAGGAGAAGGGGAAGTGGGGAAAAGAGAGGGAGTGAGGGACCAGCAGTAGAGAAACATGGAGACTCTGATTGAGATGTAAAGTGAACAACTAAATAAATAAAGATTAAATATATATTTCCAGCTTTTGTATGGTATTTTCTTTCCTCTCTTCTCCAAACCCAGGGTTATTATTTTTATACTGTTGCCAAATTCTGCCAGTCTCTGTTCAGGTATTTTATTCTTATAAATTTTATTTTTATAGACAAAAGTTGTAAACAGGGTATAAAAGCTCAAAACCATGATTTTTATTAGTTTATTTATTTTGTTTTTTTTATATCTTCAGTAAATCATTATGTAGGTTTTGCTATAGATTTTTCATAAGCCAACTCAAGTACTGATTTTGCATCCTGTATGTAATTTTAAAATCATGAAAGGTAAATGCTCCATGGAATCCATCCTCAATGTGGTGATGAGTTACATGAACTCCAACATTCTGAAGCCTCGTGACATACATGAGTCCATCATCTCGTAGGACATCATACTGGCAAGTGATGATATAGGTCAGAGGTAAATGACGCAATATGTTGTCATCGGCCAAGAGAGGGCATGCCTTCACATCTACAAACCCTGGGTATTGTTGAGCCAGCTCAGAACTACCAGGAGTGGGACTCTTATAATAGTAACCTTTCTTATATCTCTCAGGGAGCAAGGAACTCCAGTTCACAAATCGGAACAAATGGCTGCGTTCCATAGGTACATGTTGATTGAGAATCATAGCTTTCTCTAGGGCTTGATCTGTAGTAAAGTATTCACTCCAAAACCTGACCATGAGTGATCTGGATAAAAACGGAAAATGTGAATTTTCTTGAAATGACGGTAAATTCATATCAAGGGCCTGAAGGGCAGGATATACTAAGGCTTGGACCTTGAGTTTTATCTTGATATCTGGATCCTGTATGAGCTAAAAAGGAAATAAAATTACATTTTAATAAATATTTTAATTAGTTGGTATAATTCCATCTAGAAATAATATGTAGAAATAAAATAAATTCAGATTACCTGGTACAACAAATATATCTTATTGAATTTTCCAATTGTCTATATGTTCATCATCTACTCCGTAATAAAATTATTGCCATTATGTGGAAATATTCTGCAGAATGCTCAAGACTGAATTTCAAAAATACTAGTGGGAATAATATACCATATTTTTAAGAAAAGGATTTTATGTAAGTCATGTGCTAACAAACATGTTAATTCCCATCAAATACCAAGTAGTATGATGAGAAGCAGAGATTTAACGGTTAATGAGCACTGTTTTGCTTTGACTTAAAAACTTATCTTTTCAAAAAATAGAGTGTGGGGTGTTTTATTCATGTCCTATTCAAGAGAATAAATGAGGGTAGGTTCTTTAGTTTAACCTCACAGCTGAGAAGGTAGCAATACTTATTTCAGTTCCTTTAAGTAGTAAATGTGTTATAAAAGACAAGACACTGAATGCTTGGGTTAATTGTATGGAAATTCTTTGTCTTAAAAATGTTTAAGATCTAAGAATATTTTCCAACTTTTTAGTCTATTATGGTCTACAGCATATTATATGATAGCTCATATAGTTATTCAATTTATGAAGCAAAATATATAAAATTACAGAAACTGAAACATATAAAAGAAGGACTTGCTGCAACATTGAAAATAAATGTATGCTTAAAGATAATAGAAAAAATAGGCAAGTTCACAGTTGGTTACTGCTGTAGTTTCAAAAAATTCTTGATTCTTGATGTGTAACTCAAGTTGTTTCAAATTGCCTTTCAGACCAATGAGGCCGAAGGGGTATAGAATTCAAATGCTGAAACATATTGTACATTATTTTATAGGATATTAGAGCAAACCACAGACTTTGTAGCTTATCTTCTCAGGAAGTGAATTTGCCTTAAATGCAGCAGTATGAGAAAAATGAAATTTATTCACAGTAGCTAAATATCCTGAAATTTTACAAACAATTCAGATCTTAAAATTATCAATCTTCATCACTCAAATTATATTTATAAGAGTACAAATTACATTTATAATTCTGTGCTAACATTTTTCCTTTGAATAATTTCATTTTTCTGATACCAAAATATATTACACCCTCTAATTATCAATACTACAGTTATAGTGGTTGGTGTTGTTGTTCAACTTTACCAGACATCCCCTGATATAACAGTAGAGGATAAAAACCTAGCTGACTGAAATATTCATGCATAACCTTACTCTGCCACAGTCTAAATTAAAAAAAAAAAAAAGAAAATGGTGACCTTTCTCAAGTTTAGAAGCACTGTGTCGACAAATGTTTCAATGTCATTCCAGATGTTTCTCTGATGTTTTAGAGTGGTCATAATATTTCACATTCTTACTGACCTTTAGAATATCTGAGACAAGTATATTTACATATAGGGTGTTTTAAAATATCAAACAAACCCGAACAACCTACTTGCTGTGTGACAGCTGCGGCTAAGTTCCCACCAGCACTGTCTCCAGCCACACCGACTCTTCTAGGATCTACACCATATTTTTTAAGAACGTCTTCCTGTAAGAACCACCGTAAGGCACTGTGCACATCTTCAAACTGGCTTGGAAAATGATATTTGGGGGCTAACGCATAGCTGTGTAAAGAATAAGTTTCAAGTGAATAAAGTTTAATTAAAGATTTATGTGGTATATCACTAAAATAAAGGGCCAGGTTTTGTTTAATAAACAAAATATTATTGCTAACTTATGAGTGCAATCAATCATAAAATCTTTTCTGATTTAATTATTATACTAGTAAAACCTTGGGTAAAGCAATTGAATTAGCCTTGAGTCAAAAATAAAATAACAAAAATATATAACAGGTAATACATTTCCATAATAACTTTTTCCAGTACGTTCTTTTTTACAATTATTATACTTTATTAGAAATTAATCAATGGCAAACAAATAGTATTAGTTTTATGTTTGAGCTTCATCAATAATAACAACAACCTATGTGACCAGTATGCTTTATTCATTGCTTCATTTTTCTATTCATTTGTACCAAATTGATTTCTGATCAGTTATTATCCTAATATGTTATTTGAGAACATATCTTTGCCTGTTTCCTTGTGTAGATGTTTCCATTGCTTCCAGTGATGATTAGGCCATGACGTATGGTTACCTGACCTCTTAAGTACAGCTTATCATGTAATTCTCTGAAAGACCATATTGTGCAGAAAATACATGATTCTCAGTTCACTTACGGATACACTGTGCTTAATTAATTATCTATCTATATGCTATATTAGAGACCTGAAAGGCTCGAGGCAAAATTTTTTTTATAATAATTTCTATTCTTTATATTAATCACAGGTTATTTACTTTGTATCCCAGCCGTAACTCCCTCCCTCATTCTCTCCCAATCCCACCATCCCTTCCTCATCTCCTCCCTGCCCCTTTCCAAGTCCACTGATAGGGGAGGACCTCCTCCCCTTCCATCTGACCCTAGCTTATCAGGTCTCTTCATGACTGGTTGCAATGTCCTCTTCTGTGGTCTAGCAAGGCTGCTCCTTCCTGGGTGGGGGTGGGGGGGACAAAGAACCAACCATTGAGTTCACGTCAGAAATAGTCCCTGTTCACCTTACTAGAGAACCCACTTGGATACTGAGCTACCATGGGCTATATCCGAGCAGGGGTTCTAGGTTATATCCATACATAGTCCTTGGTTGGAGAAACAGCCTCATAAAAGACCCCTGTGCCCTGATATAGTTGGTCCTTGTGGAGATCCTGTCCTCTCCAGGTCTTACTAACTCCCCCTTCTTTTGTATGATTCCCCACACTCTGCCAAAGGTTTGGTTATGAGTCTTAATATCTGCTTTGATACATTGCCAGGTAAAGTCTTTCAGAGGCCCTCTGCGGTAGGCTCCTGTCCTGTTACTTGTTCGAGGCAAAATTTTAAGCCTCATTTGCTGTGATTCTCTGACTTAAAGCACTCACACTGCTAAAGGAACCTAGCCTAGAATTCCCATGCAGCTCATCGGTGCATATGATGTACCACTGCCATGTTCTGATGAGTTCTGATGAGGTTGTTTCTATTTTGATTCCTGGTTGATATAAGTGTTTTGTTTTGCTTTTTTTGTTTGTTTGTTTGTTTTGTTAACTCTGATTCTATTCTGGCCAACTTAAGTTCACTTTTTGATTGCCCGCTCTCTTAATTTCCTTTGAAATATTCCAATAATAACCAGAAGAAAATGACCAAGATTGTTGGCTTCTTGCTACAGAACGCACAAGGCAAAGCACTGAAGAAGCAAACTGTGGTCTTACTCGGTTGACACGACAACAGCATCGAGTCTATCTGCTGTCCTTCTCGACAGATTGTCATACATCGAAAGAGCTGAAATGGAGGAAGCTTAGTAAGAGAATGTCAGGCAAACAGATGGAAAAGTTACACCAGCAAAAACACATGCACATGCACGTTGCCCTTTGGAGACAGGCTAAATGTCGCTTCTGTTATGCACAGCACTTCATCATCAGTGTAGAAAATGAACCCTGCTCTGAACTGTTTCAGACAGACGCTGGCAGGTGCTTGCTTTCACCATTTCACTGGGCCTCATTGAAAGCACCGTCATTCCACTCAATATTTCTGCCTTTTCCTGTCCTTGAAAGTACGGATGACTGTACCTGACTTTAAGGAAGGTACTATATAGTAGAGTCAGGTGTGTGGGAGGGTTGTCAGTTTTTTTACAAGGCACACAGATACATAGTAATAATTTCTCCAGGGGAGTGTTTTATAGAGAGAAGTATCTGGAAATCGTGTTAGACTTCAGTAAGACCGCTAGAGTGAGAGAGAAGACCTAACCTATTTAACAGCCATCCATAATTAGGGAGAGAAAACAATGTGACTTGGGTGTTTTTTCCCTCTCGGCAATGCAATGGGTTAGGAATGGTTTCTATACATCTACCTGAGTTTAGGCACATGTTCCAAACACAGGTAAAGTCTTTAAAAATAAACAAGAGTATGCCAGCAAAAAGTGTTTAGAGAAATCCTAGCACGATAACGGGTACATGTCAGAATAGAAGGACACTACAAGGCCATCCAGATGCTCAAAAGACATCATCATAAGATATTTTCAACACTGGGCATTAAGCATTCATAAAAATTCAAACACACGCTGTCAGAACTTCATACTTCTGTTATAAACATATCTCTCTACTATATGGAGTTATAGATAACCTTCCTTTTTCTGCCAAGCCTAATTATCTCTATGGTCTCAAGGTCAAATGAACTTAACCTTTTCTTCAAGTCTCAGAGCCCGCATTCCAGAAAAGCTCACAAGTCAGAATCTTAAAATTAACTATTGAAACTGTAATAGACTCTTCATGTTGTTATGAAGTACATACATTATAAGATATGAAAAATATTGATCATATTATTTATGTTTATATGCTTACATTCAATGAAGTAAAATTATACTACATAATTTTATGAAGTAAAATATATTATATAATTTACATGTAACTAGTGAAATTTCTAATATCAAATAAAAATAGTGTGTTCAGCTCTGTGCTTTTTACATCTAACAACTTTGTCTCATTTCCTTCATATTATTTCACTCATTGTTTGGCTCATCCTCTTTTATTTTCACTACAGTATTTTACCAGCTATACAATAATAATTATATAAACTCCTATGTTCAAGAAGCCATTTCTCTTCTTTTTTTTAGATTTTATTTATTTGTTTATTAATATTAGTTACAGTTTGGACAATGCAGCCACTCCTGATGTGATCTGATAGATTAAGATCAGAAGGAAGGAGAGGAGGACCTCCCTTATCAGTGGACTTGGGAAGGGGCATGCTTGAAGAAATGGGAGGGAGAGTGGGACCAGGCGGGGAGGAGGAAGGGACTTATGGGGGGATACAAAGTGAACAAAGCATAATTAATAAAATTAATAATAATACTACTAATAATAAACTAAAAAATTTAAATTAAAAAATATTAGTTACAATTTATTAATTTTGTATACCATCTATATCCTGCTCCCTCATTCCCCCCCCCATCCCACCCTTCCTCACTCATCTTCTCCCTGCCCCTTTCCAAGTCCACTGATAGGGGAGGAGGTCCTCCCCTTTCATCTGACCCTGGTTTATCAGGACTGGCTGCAGTGTCCTCTTTTGTGGTCTAGCAAGGCTGCTCCTCCCTCGGGGGAGGGGGAGGTCAAAGAGCCCACCATTGAGTTTATGTCAGAAATAATCCCTGTTCCCCTTACTAGGGCACCCACTTGGATACTGAGCTACCATGGGCTATATCCGAGCAGGGGTTCTAGGTTATATCCATACATGGTCCTTGGTTGGAGAAACAGTCTCAGAAAAGACCCCTGTGCCCTGATATACTTGGTCCTTGTGTAGCTCCTGTCTCTCCAGGTCATACTAACTCCCCCTTCTTTCTTATGATTCCCTGCACTCTGCCGAAGGTTTGTTTATGTCTTAGTATCTGATTTGATACACTGCTAGGTAGAGTCTTTCAGAGGCCCTCTGTGGTAGGCCATTTCTCTTCTTAAGTGAGATTTTATACAGCATTTAGTAGTAATTAATTCACCTTTCAGAAAAGAACATGTTTCAAGCAATTGAAGTATTATTATCTAACTTATATATGACTTTAATGTCTCTTTGTGCTGAGTCAATATCACATTTTATGGAACAAACAAGAATGCTAAATCATTGGGACATACCAGCACTCCCCAAACTCCAGCCTCCACCGTGAATATAAAACAAGCCCCTCCTCAGTGGTGCTGACTCCCTTTTGGGTATGTATATGCGAACAGGAACACTGTTGAAAGTTGTCTCCATCACAGTAACATTCTCGTCAGAAGTGGGTGGGACTTCGTGAAGTTTCATAAATAACTTCACTGTGTCCATGAAATGACTGATTCCCAAAAGTTCAGCAAAAGAAGCCTGAGTGGAGAGGAAAAAGAAAAGAAAAGTTACATGTGCGTGTGTGTGTGTGTGTGTGTGTGTGTGTAGCTGTAATATGATGAGTCCCTTTAAGAATGTGTACTTAGGGCTGATGGTTTAGGATTGGATAACCTCTCAGGGCCTTTCCCCTGGAGAAGACTGGGTCTCCCTTTCTCATCACCCATCAATTCCCTGTAACTCTTTAACTATGGATACATTTTCAAAATTTGAAAATTCTGTCATCCACATTGGAATGTCAACTGTTAGATATAGCTGTCAGTTATATAGCAACTAACAGTTGTTAGTGTGTTTGTCTTGCTTAGGTAAACAATTTTTGAGATTTCTTGGGTTCTGTTTCCCTGACACACACACACACACACACACACCACGATAGTACAATATATACAATGC